AGAAAAAAAGGCCGAAGGAAGGAGAGGATGGGGAAGAAGATGGGGGTAAATTGGTAATTAAAGGTAAAAAATTTAACCATGTTATCAATTTTTGCCAAATGAATTTTTCATGTAATTTAAGTAAAAAAATAAGTTTTTTGTTAATTAATTTGCCACATCAGCTAAAATTTAACGGAGGGACTAAAAATAGACTAGATGTTAAACTTTAAGAACAAAAAAGAGGATTTTTTCACTATAAGGACTAAAAAAGCACTTTTTTCTATAGTAGAGAGACCAAAAAAGGTATTAAACCAAAAGAGAATAGATATAGAGTTATATCAACATTGAAGCTTTTCATAACTTCCTCTCTCTTTCCCCCTTTTCTCTCCCTTTTCTCCTGCTTCTGCCTCCCTTCTCCGGTGTTGCGTTGTTTTTGTCCGGAAGCCTTTGAGCTTCCGTGGTTTTGATGCTTGAGCCGCCAGGCTTCTCGGCCATTCAAGCATGTTGGAGCCGCCTTGTGCTCCCTCCGTCGACGACTCTTCTGGGTCTGTCGGCTTTTGGGTCCCCTTTGGTGACCCCTTTGGTTTTCTTGTTTTTCTTGTTGTTTTGTTTTTTCTTTATGTTCTTGTATAGTTTGTTTTTCAGATCTGGCGACCCTCGGCTCTATCTTGCAGATCTTGTTAGGTGCTTGCTGTTTTTGGTTGGCTTGCAGATTCGACGGTGGTCCCCTCCTCTGGTAGCTTCTATCGGTGGCGGTGAACGCGAGGGATCCCAGATCTGGCAACCTTGCGACCCACCTGCTGCCTCTAGGGATCGGCCTCCGCTTGATCGGGTCTCCGCATCGGCATCCTGGAGCCTGGCGCACCTTCCACATGGGTAGATTGAAGGGTGTTTCGTTTGGATCGCTCGACCGAAGGCCGTTGTATAGCTGGGCCTTAGTGGTTGTTTGAGTGTCATGTGCACCTCCTTTCGGCCTCTGGATATGGGTTTACTTCAGTTTCTTGCTCCTGATGTAATTTTATTGTTTATTATTCCTGTAGATACCATATGACAGTGTTTGAAATGAACCAATTTCGTTATGTTCCAAAAAAAAAAAAAACATTGAAGCTTTTCATAAAATCAAGAAAAGTTCAATAAAATTTAAATGACACTAATTAACATAAGCTGACAGGACATCACACGGAGCAACTCT